AAATTGAAGCATAAATAGAAACATAACTTACAAATAAATAACATAGAAAACATAGAAAATAATTAATATTCATTGAATCCCTCAATAACCAATTTTTAGAACTTTTCTTTGAGTGTAGCTTCCCCGGGGTCTCGGGATTTGCACTGAGCCACTGTTGAAAGCTGATGCCTGCACGGCAGAGTGCATCGTTCACTCTTAGAGGCAAAATCAAATTTCAGACATTTTAACATTTTTTTTTTTTTGGTTTCGTTGTTGTTGGCTGGACGGATTTTTTGAGGTCTCAAAGCCCCGGCATTGATGAAATTGCATTTTGATAATGGAGCACACTATGATGTAGAGTAACTTTCTGTGCCCATTCAATGTGGCAACTGAAGCGAGAGCTCAAGGCTTCCGGGGAATGGTATTGGGATTGGATGCTAGGCGATGGCTTTGCGCCTGTCAAAACACCTGGGCACAATTTGGCTTTAATAATTGAAGGCAAATGCATATGGGACCCAAAAAGTTCCTCTCCGTCTCCTTGACTTGGCTCTTTTTCCTGATCATTTTCCAAACGTTTCAGTTTCCCTTGACTTTTTTTGTCTTTTTTTTTGCATTTCTTTTGCATTCACATGACTGACTTTTCTCACTTTCTTTCATTATACGGCAGAAATTTCATTTTGAAATTGAATTAAAGAGTTTTTGGGGGGCAGATCCTTTGAATAATTCATTTGTTTGTGACTTTAAATCGCATCCGTATTGAATTATTTCAGTGCAGATGCCGCTTGCCGTTTGATAAGTCACGATTTTGTAATTAATGTCGCAACTGTGGCGCCTCCAAAATGCTGAAGTGGATTTCACAATCGAGTTCGTGACCAGATTTGTTGATGATTTTAATGACAGGCAGACAGAAAAGGATTAATAGAGCTTACTAAAGAAATGTTAACAAGGACAAATCGTTGTTTAAGCAGAACAATTTAATAATTCTATAAATATTTTGCTCTATTTAAAAAGCAAATCTAGTTTTTATATTTGGTTTGGACTACGTGATTTCCAGGCTAGACGCCATTATCCTGCAGCCAATCCCAATTGAGTTTTTATATAGAAATTGTGAAAAATTGTACAAAATTGTGCATCATTCCAGCGAATGCATAAGGAAAAGCTTGCATTAGGCCAAGCTTTTCCGCCATTAAGGACAAGAGCATGGCTTCAGAGCCCCATCTGCAGGCACATCCAAGAAGCACACATGATTTGAGGCAAATCATCATCTTCCTCTCGAGATTAAGATGCCGACATCTTGCCCTCAGTGCCCTCTGGCCCCGAACACTTGAAATTTTCATAAATGGCTTAAGGACGATGCCAGGATGATGTGAATGCTGCCTGCAACTCACACAAACACGTTGCCATTGCCACTGATGACGTTGTGGCTCGTTTGCTCGATTCCATCTTCATTTTTATACCCTTGATGGGGGTATTATGGAGGGAAAGAGTCCCATAAATAATACTTGAACACCGTCACAAGATGTGCCATAAAAACTCTTTGCTAGAAGTTTTGGTTTACATATTGTTGGAGTTTTGAAATATTTAAGGAAATAGTTGGAGAGGCTGAAAAATTAAAAAGAATTGGAACAAAATATATATCTTTTATTATATATTTATTATTTTTATATATTATTAATTTTTGCTTTTAAAACTTAACTTAGAACATATTAATATTATGCAAAGTAATTGTCTCTTAGGGTATTTCATACTCCTCTCCCTTTTTGCTAGTCTTCTCCAGTGCCATTTTTTATATTTTCCTCGCTTTTCCATTGGCAGTACTTTTCCTGTCATTACCACTTTTAGCTCTTTTTTTTATCCTGCAACTTGCGTCTTTTACTTTTTTTTCTTAGGTCCCTTTTTCCTCATTTTGCTGTCACTCGCATGCAAAATTGAAATCATCAACGTCGTCATCAGTTGCTGTCTGCCTAAGTTGGCCAAGTTGGGGGCTGGTAAAAGCAAGGGGTTAGGGTTATTTCGCTTGTTCAAATCACAACTAAGCTGAGATGATATAACTGGCTTAAGTGAAAGTAGCACAGCCACAGCAACAACAGCAACAACTACAACAACTACAACTACTGGGAGCAGGAACTTTTCCTTTGCCGCCTGTCTCAAGATTATTGCTCCGCTCAACGTTTTTCGTGTTTTCTTCTTTTTGGGGGCCCCGCAACTTTTTGCCCTAACAACCAAATAACATGCCGAGCTGCATTTTGGCCGACGTGCTCGACAGACCATGGTCCAGGCCCAGGCCCACCCACCCAGTGGGCACATTTCTTTTTTTTCTTTTCGCATTACACATTTTTAAACTAGGCCAGATGCATAAATCTCTGCAAGTGAGTCACTGAAGATGGTCGAGGATGAGGCTTACGGAAAGGCTAAAAGGAAATTAAGTTTGCTGGCATTTTGGTGGTAAATCAGCTGATTGCATAAGTTATTTTTGTTTGAAAAAGGTTTTTAGTGAGGTATTTTAAGGGAAATATTAAATATTTACAATTTAATAGAAGGAAAACCTTTAAAGAAACTTTAATTTGTGTATCTAAATTTATTTTAATTATTTATTTTAATTATTAAATAATTCCTTACTTACTGCAGGCAAATTTCACCAACTACTAAGTTCCTTCTCAACATATTTGGTTGTTATGACCCATCTTGTGTTTGTCCCTTGTGATTATCCTCACATTATCTATATTAGCCACATTACTTAGCCCCACTTCCACACATTTGGGCCAGGACTAGACAGGGCCAAACGCATTTGTGGCATCGCATAACATAATGAGCTTACCCTTTCGACGCCCCTCTTGGGGGGCTCTGCTGGGAGGGTTGTTTTCATGGGTTTACTTACTCGACACCGAGAATATAAGCGCCACAAATTATGCACAAACAATGCCAGGGAAAACGCAGAGCGAGCATGATGGGATGCCACATATATATAGTATAAATATATATTGCCTGAGCTAGGTGTCATCTCATTTTAATAAGACAACAACTAGGAGGAGGATGATCCACTGAAAGAAATAAAAGTCAATTAATTTTATATAAAAATGCAAACAATTATTTTCTTTGTTAACTGTTTTGTTTTTAATTGAAACCCTTTTAAGTGAATTTATTTTAATTGAATCCTTTTTAATTTAAATTGAAAATCGTTCTACTGGTTCTTTTGTTGGTATCACTGGTTCTATATAAACACTTTTATGTAGTATCCATTAAAGCGGTCACCATCGCAAGGACCTGTTACATAAACAATGAGCTGCCAATGGTGCAGCTGCCAGCTGCAGATGTCCTGGCAATGCAGGCAAACGCCGCTACAAACTGGCGGTGAGCACGCAAAGTCGTTAAGTGCTGCGGAATGGCTTAGCCGGGGCTCTCTGGACTCGGATTGTTGCACATTGGCCCATTCCCCACTCCCGACGCCCGACTCAATCGATTAAGCGGTTTAAGTGCCCCATAAGCCGCCTCGGCTGACTGCCTTCCGCCAGGAGCCGCTCTGCTCTAGCCAGTATCCTTGCGGCCGCCTGTTGTGAACACGTGTTTTGTATTGCCTATCCCCGGGCGGAACACATTGCTGTGCTGATAGTTGCAGGTTGCATGGGTTTCAGTTTTGCTGGGTTGCAGGTTGCCAGTGGCAGGTGCATTGTTATGGCGCTGCGGCTGGAGTTCGCACCCCTGGGTAATTATTGAACATGTTTATTATTTGCTTAATGGACCGCAAGGCGTTGGCGCTGCTGAAATGTGTGGCCTACTTGGGGGCGTCTCATTTTTCAATTTCCTTGCGAGGACTTACAGTGGAGCAGGGGTCGTTCGTTTGCAGTTTATGTCCTTGCTATCCGTATGTTATCTGTGTGTTTAGTGTCCCCTCCTCATGTTGTCGTAAACTTTAACGCCTGCCCCTTGTATATGTATATACCAGACTATACCAGACTATATGCTAAAAAGCAGCTTGTGTGCAACTTGTGTACGATGTGTTTTATGTTTATGTATTTCTGGACCCCAAGTTGTACTCACGAAGCCGTCGTTAAAAGAGCATCAAAAGTGGTTTAGACTACAATAAACCAAAACGGAGCGGAGTGTGTGTGAAATAAATAATTCCTTTAGAGTCTACTTACGGAATTACCTAGACATCAAAGCTGGGTAGCTGGTAGATGGAAAGCTATTTCAGGGTTTTCCACTGGCCCGATTGAAATCTGCTTGGGTCAGCGAGATAACCTACTTATGACCTACTTATCAGGATAAGCGCTCATATTGAAAGAGATGGCCAACTTTATGGCCTCCCCCCATGCAGCCTTTGTTTTGTTTCTTGTGATTTTTAATCCTCTTTCACAGAGTCCGAATTACTCTCGTAAAATTTTTTATGTTTAGTCCCATAAATGTCTGTGGTTTTGGTTTTGTCTTGACTTGTGGCTATTTTAAGTTTGTTTTCTGTCAGAAGTATTATTCTGAATGGGACGAAAAATAGGTAAATGCTGTTTTCTATAAATTATTAAATATCAGAAAATAATTGCATTTATTCAGGGAATTTATCACAACAAATTAAATGGAAAATTAATTACACAAACACCAAGTAAATTGAAATGTTACATGTTTGTGGATAATCTTTTAGGCAACTGGAAATTAAACCAAAACAACTTTTATATCAATATTTTGCTGTGTACAATTTTTGTTTTGATTTTAATCTTTTTATTGCGTATACGCCGTGGAGGTTTATGCTGGCCAAGTCAAATATTTATAGTTTTTATAACAGAAATAATTTCATATTTAATATATGAATGAGTTTCGCTACATGTGATGTGATATATATGTATTTATATAAATCGTTGCAGGATTTACAACAAAAACTTAATAGCATTCATACGCCCTGTTGACCAATAGATTTTTATGCGGCTCTGTCAGTTTCAACTGTTTGATATTTAATGAACTTTTTATAAACATAGAACCAAGTGCGTCATTTAATATATATTATATTAATATTTGTTCTTTCTGTTTTACAGAAATACGTCAGTGAGCTGTCGACTGTTCGCGACTGTGCCACCGAGTGTCAGGAGAAAGGTAAGTGAAAGCATTATTTATCAGGCTTTTAGGTTAACCACAAAATCAAAATAATAAGCTAATTGAGCCATGTAATTGGGCATTATTATTTGCCCACCGCAAAATAAATTGATATTTGACCTTTGCACAATTTCAATAAATTATGAAATAATAATTAAATATTGCTCTAATTATTTCTATAGAAATTTGGGAGACCCAAACATACTGCTGCACCGAGGACGGCTGTAACTCGGGCAACCAGTTGGCCTACTCCCTCGTCCTGTTGGCCCTGCCCTTGGTTTCGATGGCCTGGCCCACATTCGTCCACTTCTGGAATACGCGGCGTTAAGGGAGCCCAGAAAACATATATTCACTCTACCATTTTTAGTTTTTCTAATTTATTTTTTGTAATAATTTTAGCAAAGAAAAATGTATAAACTTTTCCACATTTAGCATTTATTATTTGGTTACAAAAATGATATATAACAAACAAAATTCTGTGAACGGGACCTAATCAAACTAAAAAAAGCGATATAGAAAAGTTACTCGACAAATTTAGCATTTGAACTTGTTTTTTGTGTAATATTTATAAATTATACACATTTAAATGTATGTATATTTTGCCATATATTTACTGTTAATACTTTGGGCTTTGTATTTCTGACTGTCTTCCCAAGAAAAGAAACAAAACACAAACGAAAAACGATAACGATAGGGGTGAAAGGTCGCCCAGCAGCTTAACTAATTCATATTCACAAGAAAATAACAATTGCAATGCCAAATTACTACTTAAATCGTGTTAAAATAAATATTAAAAATGAAGAGAGAAACAAAAAACACAAAGGAGATTAGTGTTTTTGTAAGAGATATAATGCCAGCTGTCAAAAGTACATAAGAATCGCAATCATATTAAATAAAAAATGGGGAAACCAAATATATAAATATCACCGAATTCGTGTTGAATGCATTTCATGGACATACTAATGTACACCTAAGATTAAAAAACGAAGAACGTAGAAATTAAATAGGATCCAAATATCCAGCGATGCTTGAAGAAAAATAAAAACCGGCTTCACTTAGTGTTTTGCTTTATCATTTCCACCTTAATAGGTCCACAAATATTACGCAAATGTCAAAGTCACAGTGAGTTTATTTTGGGGTCTGTGATTTTGCACTTTGAGAATGTAATATTTGCTGGTACCCCCCAGATTATATGTTGTTCCTTAAGCTAATAACCTAATAATGTTTTCCTTGAACGAAACAAATTAAGAAAAATGTTTATTAACACATGCGAACATGTGTGTAACCTTAAGGCAGTACGAATTATGAATAATAGTAACGACGAACACAAAACGAAAATCGAACAAATTTTCACTCCACTGTTCATGAGATTCTAAATTAAATATTAAAACTAAAAAACCGCAACACGATATAAATCAATTGATATTCACGAAACAAAACGTATTTGTAGCAAAGTCTAGCTCGGATAGAGTTAAAACCATTCGGCATAGCGTAGGTAACAGAAAAAGAAGAAACTAATTAATAGAATTATTTAGAATTATCGAGAGTTTAGTGAACCCAAGTGTATTACCATGGAAGTTCTTAACGATTTTCTTATATAGAGCACTTACGCGATTCCATTTTTAATTATTTACAATAATAATATTTTAAAGATTAATACTTACAAAAGCATATAAGAAGAAACAATGCATACGATATATATATATACAAGAAATTAGAGTCTAGGTCTAAGGGCTTTCACTATATTAAAGCGAAAAAAAAACGTGTGAAATATGCAAAAAGAAAAACGATTAAACATATAAAAAATGTTAAATGTTAGTTCCTCAAAAACCAAAGCAGCTTGTGTACTCGTATTTAATGCCCACTATCGAATAATTTGCATTTGATTAACATTTCCCACTTGATAAAATGAGTAAATCGCATTTTCATTTAATTGTATTACTACGACAAAATAAATTATATCCGACATTTTGCCAATTAAAATGTCAACCATTGTGTCTGCTTTGGCTACATTTAATGCAATTATTTCATTTTACATTCTCATCCAAACGAGCGAACAAAAGAAAAATATGATATATAGAAAAGTCGGAAGGGAAATTCCAATTGCGATTACACAACACTAATAATAATTGTATGTATATGGTATATGTATTTCCAAATAACATTTTAATTTAAATTTTAGTAATAAACTTCAATAAAACAAGCAAAAAACAAGGCCAATTTCGTTTTTATTCCTCGTTTGCCAAAACAATTGAATTAATGAGACGCCATTGCTCAAGAGCCACTCCCCGGCAACTAGCAGAGCAGTTGAAGAAGGACCTCTTTGACAAACTGGAGCAAAAAAGAGTAATAGCCTGGCTAAGCCCCCGAGCTGAGAAATATTTGGGGAGTTCAGCAGGGCCATAAATATTTGTCTCCCCAGGAGTTTATTGCCCGTATTGAGGGCTTTTCTTTGCCCAAGACCACGGAAACTAGCCAGAAACTGTTGAAAATATTATTTATAGTAAGGATATTTTATTTGCAAAAATATATAAAGAGGGGAAAATATTGAAGGACGCCATTTTGGTTAACACAAAATGTAGAATTTATTATTATTTTATAAATTAACTTGATACACCTTCTGCATTGGCTGTATATAATATTTATTTATGGTTTTATTATTTCTGTTCAATTTAAAACCAATTTCTAGCTCTTTAAAGCTTAAAATCAGCTTTTTTTTTTTTTTGCGTTGGCCCTTCCCGAAATAGAAAAATCCAGTAAATAGAAAATAAAGGGAGAGAACTGTGCTAATGTTTGTACGCTTTACAGCATACGGTAATCCGGATAAGCCACGCATTTTACATATCGTTGGGACAAACAGTGAAAAAGTTGCTCGGAAAATGCCCGGGAAAGGCCAGGAAAACGTGATGGCGGCGCAGGAGCGGGCTTAGGGCGAAAAGCTTAACAAACAAGTTCGTGATGTAACAATTGAAAGCACGTCTGTGCGGCTGTATGTTTGTGTCAGCAAAGGATTTTGCGCAATTACGCGGCACAGCGAGTGAAAAAGGAGCCGGCCATAAATATCAAAATAAATGCAGCCTTGGCGCTGTCAAATGGATTAATCTAAAGTCGCGCCTCAAATTGCAATGGTCTTGATTAAAAGGACGTAATAGTCCTGCTCCATTAGCAAGGCCACAACTGACTATTTAAATTGCTGCTGCCAACCATTTTGGAGGTATTTCCCCCCCCAACAAGACCAAGGGGAAAGACAGTTGCCACAGTCAAAGCCATAAAATCGCTTCAAGGATTTCTGGCCGCTTTGAGGCATTCTCGGCACGGTTCATCAGGCCTGGCAGGATGCAGGACTCGCTTTCAGTGGCATTGCCACTAGAATCCACTTGAGCATCATTCGCATCATCGGCTCCGCTCGAATCGTTTACTCTTCAATGCAGTTTTCCTACGAAAGTACTATATATATTCGATTTCATTTAGTTGGTAGCGAAGCCACTGTATATTTAAGTGAGTATTCCCAGATGTCTGAGAGGTTTCTTAAAGGTTTTCGATTGAAAATCTTAAGTTTGTGTAATTTTGTTTTATCACAAATACCCCTCTTTATTATAAATTGAAATACCCCAATTTCTCTATTTACATCGTCTTCAAACATTTTCTTAATTAATTTTCTACTTTAACCCAACTGAGAATGAATTAATGTTGACAATTTTTGCCATCACAATCAGCACACTGAACAAAAGGCACACCCACACACAGAATTAATTTATGACACTTTGTGTGGCTGGCCATACAAAGCAAAGAGGCAAAGACAAACACACAACACATCCTCCGGATGCCGAGCAACATTTTTGTGGGCGTTTTGCCTGCAGAAGTCGCCAGCTTTCATGTCCTTGAGGGCAGCAGCAGCAGCAGCAGCATAATAAATGCCAGGCTCCAACAGGACCAAGTCAAGCTGAAACCGAATTAAGCCAATCTCAGGCAAAAGCCAGGTCTGCCAAAGAAAACAAGACCCTAATGAACGCCATTTCTGCTGCCAAGAGCTTGTTGACCAACAAATGCAACGGGCTCAAGGAGCATGTGTTGAGTTTGAAATGATGAGAAATGTCAACGATTTGCTGCAATCGCCTGCAACATTCACACCCTTCACTCTTCAAACGGAAGAGGCAAAATGCCAGCAAATATGAAAACCATGCCAAGTGCAGCTCATCTAATTAATGGACATCTGACACAAAGCTCGTAAATAGAACATGGTGTCCATCGATTGCTCGAGGCGATTTGCAATTCCTTTTCCTGACTGATGGCAAAACTTTTGCAATGGAAATTAATCTAGCTGCAGGCAAACAAAAGCCAGGTGAAAAGTGTAATCGAAAGAGCAGGTAATAAAGCTAATGGCATTTAGTAATTGATTAAAAATCTGCAGTATTTCAAAGAAAATGTAATTAAATTCTACTAAATTCCAGTTTATTATTATCTGTTTTATTTCTTAGAATTGATTATTACTGCAGTCAGAAAGGTAAGAAAAATATATCTAGAAAATGTATTAAACGCATTTTTTTAATCACTTAATAAAATAGAACAAATTCCATGAAATTAATTTTATTTTGTACGAGAAAACGTTTTTTAAAGTAAAGTATATTTAAGTGATATAAAATCTCTAATGCCTTTTGTGGCATTCCTTTTCTTAATAATATTTATTATTAGCAAATTTCATATAAGTAAGTTTGGAGTTAAATATTAAGTATGGCCTTTCGTAAAGATTTCTACCCAAAAATAGTCCTTGAATGCGCCGAGTGCTTCTGTATTTTATTGATTTGTCTGGCACATTTAAGCAATGGCCATTATCATAGTTATCCAACCGTTTAGCAATTAACAGCTCTCACTGCAAACACTCGGGGTATGAAGGGAAAAACAATTAAGTTTCTTTTGTGGCACAAGTCGGGCTATAAGTGAGCATTGCTCCCGGGAGTCAGCCAGTCGATGCAGCTGTTCGGCTAGCACAGCTGCCGATTCACACCTCCAAGCCATCCCATCCCATCCGCCGATCCCGTCCAAATTCTGAGATGGCCTTTAGCTGCCTTCTTAATTGCTTGTTGGCTTTCAGCTGGGCCGTATCAGCGTCAGTTGCAGGCGGCGAAAGTCGGCAGCCAGCAGCTTTATCCTTTTCATGTCATTAACAACGAAACGACAATGGCAAGGAGTTGCCAGGACTCAGGCAGACTTCCTTGCATTTCTCGCGCCATATCGCTGGAACTGCCTGTCGCTGTCGCCATTGCACAGTGCAATTCATATTTTAATTTAATTCATTTCCATTTTCTGCTTTTCGGCTTTGGTCTGTTGACTTGGACTTGACTTTTCCACGGCATGCCACGTGTTAAAATGGAAAATTGGCCAGCACATTAAGCCCACACTCGCTCTGTCTCTGATCTGATGCTGGCTACATTTCTTAAAATATCATTTCAGCGACCTCTGACCTTCTCTCTGTATTAATTATTCAAATATACATTACGCATACGCAGCATATGCCGCCGGACCAACATTTGTCCGTATTCACAGACCGCAAAAGAGCGAGCAGGCCGCCAAGAATAAAATCATTTAGACAAGACCCATTAAGGCACGAACAAGCCGAGACGAGGCATCCGGGAAACTGTTAATTAATCAAATCGTGGCCATCACTCCGTGCGATGATCCGCATACGCCACGTTGGCCAAGAAGTGGCGACCTCTTATGTGTATTCCTTTGAACTGAGAGGGAGAAAGAGAGAGCTCTTCAGTGGCCATATCATTGTATGTTTCCCGGTTCGTTGCATAATGAACAACGCATTGAGTTTTCCCCTTAAAAACAATGTTGGGAAATACTGGGAAATTGTAAATTAGTTGGTTCATCTCTATTGTAGGATTTATTCTTAGAACTTTAATTTAGCTGCAGTTTACTTGGAATTATAAATAACAAGAGCTTGATAGAGGATTCTAGGTAGGGATATATTTTTAATTAAGCTTTACATGATAAATAAAATATTCAAAAATTAATAAAGAACCTTTAAAGGCTATAAAACCATGGAATTTCTGAGTATATTGTTAATTAAATTAATGGAAAGTTAAATTCCCAAAAATCTGTAAGTAAAAGCTACACAAATTACAAATTTCTAGCCGCAATGCAATAATTCACTCAACTGGGCGTAAATTCAATTTATTGAATGCCAAGTAAACGCGAAATCATTTTACAATTTCCACAACGAAAATAAAAGGACGTCGCAGCCCAAAGAAGATT